TATTCCCTCCCATAAAGTGGCCCTCCAAACTGATCACAAAGTATTTGGCTACCTCCAATATAGTTACACCACCATTGCACCTGTGGGCATGCCTTTCCTTGAAGGCTGGTATTGTAGCAAGCATGGGCTGCAGCTGAGTGAGACCACTGATGGGCTTTCTCTGCAGCAGGCTGAATAGCACCTTCACGCACTATGAACATTAGCCATAATTGAGGGGATTTTCAGCTCAGTTCCAACTTGACTTTTCTGTGTCCTGTAACCAGTGTGTGGTGTTTTCAACAGTAGGGTCTTACCATCTAATTCTGGTGGGCAAAAAATAGAGATGACAATAGTTGGTATTCTTTTGGGGTCTAACCTTCCTGGCCAACAACTCTAGCATGTTCTTGTGAATTATCTGGTACCAAGAATTTCTTTTGCACACTGTTTTCTCTTCATCTAACTTCACCATGTCCCTCCTAATCTGTACCCATGTCACCCCCATCTCTTTCTTTTGTCTTTCACTCTCCCTTTCCCACTACTAATCTAGGCTTTATCTATCTGTCTTCTTTTAATAACTTCAATAGTTTTATTCCTAATGTTTTCAGCACTGTATTTAACAGTTTATATACATCATCTCTTTTAATTTTGATAACTTTTGATATGAAGATTTTATTATTCCTGTTGACAGGAAGACAGCATAAGAAGAGTAATTCACTCATTTTTCAAAAGACACAACTAAGATTTGAACCACAGGCTTCTAACTTACTGCTGTTATACTACAGAATTTTAAAGAAATTTTTGTATTGATTTGAGAATTTCATTTAAATTATTTTGATCATATTCAGACCATCCCCACCACCACCTTACTGCTTTCTCAAATGCCTTCTTGTCACTTAAGTATTTGCTACATCATAGAACGATCTCTGATCTTCATTGACCTCACTCAACCACAGATCTTACATGGTTACTTTGTTGACCTCTCATTCCTTCTTTAAATTTCTTGTCTTTTGAGAACATTTAAATAATTAACACTCTTTAGAATTTATTTCATTTCTTAAAATGTAACGATATTTTGTCCTCAATAGTAACTCCTTCAGATCTATAACTGAATATGATTCCAAGTAAAAGAAGTCACAAATATTTATCCTTTGATTTAATCTGAGAATTAAAAAAGTTTTTTGATTTATTTCTTTTGATTTTATGCATATACCTGCATGTATGTAAGTGCACTTGTATTGTATGGTGCCCACAGGGGAGAGAAGAAGACATCAGAGTCCCTGGAACTGGAGTTATGAACAGTTGTCAGCCACCATGTCGGTACTGGGATTTGAACCTGGGTCTTTTACAAGATCAGCCAGTGCCCTTAACCACTGAGCAGTCTCTCCAGACCCCTGATCTGTGAATTTTGCATTGGTTATATAGTCTATATCTGCATATTCAAGGAATGATGACTAAATAGAACAAGTGAACCTCTCTAACGATGTCCAAACCTGCAATACCTTCTGTCACTGATTTCCTTTGCTACTCAAGTTTATTTGGAGAAACATAGAAGGTTTTGAGTTTACCTGAGTCGAGAAGTCAAGTCAGTCATGTAAATGTGTAATGTAAGTGGATGATTGGTTTTAATTATCATCTTGATGTAATCTAGAATCACCTGCGGAGTCTCGGTAAGAGATTGCTTAGATCGGGTTGTCTTGTGGGTATGTGCTGAGGGATTATCTAGAGTAGTGGGAAAACCCACCCACCATGTGTGACATCATTTTCTAGGCAGAGAATCCTGGACTGTGTGAGTGGAGATGGTAAACTGAGCATTAACATGCACACACTATTTCTCTGCTCTTGGCTGAGGGTGTGCTGGCTTCTTCACCTTCCTGTCTCCTTGACTTTCCTGCAGTGATGAACCCAGAACTGTGAGCTATATAATCCTTTCTTCCTCTGTGGCTTTTGCCAGGATATTTAATCACAGCCATAGGAAATGAAACTTAGATTGAGTGAAACAAGAGGGCAAACTGGAAAACCTTATATAAGGAAGACCTCAATCACTGAACTTCTGCCTGATGCTCCTCTAAAAATATGATCCCAATTTATCAAGAGGAAAAAATTAAAATATGAAATCCAATCCCTAATCTTGATTAGAAAACAAAAATCTGTAAGCCAAAAAGCCATTTCTTCAAACTAGTC